TTTCTTTCATTTGTTATCAGTTATTTCTTCAGCCATTAAAACAAAGCCTGATCTTATATTTTTCAATCCTTAACTGCTTATCTTTGGACATTTCTGTAACCTTTGGCTGTTAAATCACAGAAGGCTATTTCTATCTTCCTAGTCTGAGATGCAAGACAGACTATCTCAACATATGCATTTCCACACGCTGTTTATTCTTCCATTACCTCTTTTTAAACATAATAGGGGCATTTTTGTTTCTTTAGGTTTACTCACATTAATTAAAATTGATGAAATTTGGACAAAACACCCATTGACTTGAATCGGAGCAGAGTTAGGTTATGCTGAATACTCTTGAAATTCCCATTCATACAAGATAGTGTGATTTATTTATTCTAAAAAGTATGCATTACATCACTGTGCTTAAACATTTGCTTCTCACTGTATCCTCTTGCCCCATTTCAGGTTAAGCAGCACTTATTACTTCTCTGCAATTTTTCCCATTTCACTTGGCATTTACACATTTTATGTATTAAATGAATGCACAAATAACAAAATACACTTAGTATCATATTGCCTGCCTTAAAATAAATTAAAGCACGGTAGATCAGACTAAGAAAGATACTGAAAATAACGTTCTGAGAAAGCTAAAAATTAGTGTATGCTGTGATGTCAATCAAAAATGCTGCCTGGATACTAGTGCTAGAGTTATTTATATACTCACTGGCAGTTTTAAGTGAAACATTTTTTCTGAACTATTTAATTTTTAATTAAATTTCCAAATAACTTTCTCTTTATAGGAGCTGGATTTTGAAGCAAAGACAAGCTATACCCTGAGGATAGAAGCAGCAAATCTGCATATTGACACTCGGTTTCTAAGCCTGGGACCCTTTAGTGATATGACAACAGTGAAGATAATTGTAGAGGATGTGGATGAACCCCCAGTTTTTACCTCAAGATTATATTCCATGGTGGTGTCGGAAGCAGCAAAGGTTGGCACCATCATTGGAACGGTAGCAGCCCATGACCCAGATGCCTCAAACAGTCCTGTCAGGTATTTCTAATGCTTGGTTGCTTGTTTGCCCTTTGATTTAAGGCTGTTCATGTTATTGCAGGATTTATTCATTTGCACTAGGAGGAAACAGTTGGCCTTTTCAGTCTCAGCATGAGCCTGTGCTGTTCTAAAAGTAGTTGTATTTGGACTTTTGAATTCTGTTGTTGTAGCATTGATGAAATTATTTCACTTCCCCTCTCTCTCAAAAAATTAGAAGGGTTATTTTTAGGATTCCAAACCAAAAATCACCTGACTGTCCATGGTCAGTATTCTGTGGAGCTTGGGAAGAATCCATTATTATCTACAAACTGTAGCTTATGTCCCAATTAAATCAATTATGCTGAATATATTACAAACAACCTATATACAAAAGAGAAGTGATGCATATCCTGAATGCACTGTGAATGTGTATGTTGTAAAATTTCTATCCATAAACATTTCAAACTGCTAAATTTGCTTAGCAAATTATGCCATTATAGTTATTTGCTTGAAGGATGTGTACTTGATTGTGTGCACTATTTCAGCTTTATCGTTTGGCTGCTGCAACAATATAATTATTAACTATGTACTGTACATGCACATTTCACTTTCTGTATAATTACTAGGCAAAAAAAATTCTGATTATAACATTATGGTTGTAAATATAAAATGTGTGATTTCCAAATAGTTTAGGAGCATAGGGTTTTCAACCTGAGTCATTTGAAATTCCCAGTAGCCCTTAGAAAGACTAACCAACAAAAACCTTATATGTAAGCCTCACAAAAATATAAATGATTCATTTTTACACTGCTCTTTGAATATTATAAGACTGAAACTTGGAGTTGACAGTCCATGGACAGTCTTAAGTATGTTCCTATATGACCATGAACTCCACAGGTAACAAAGAAGTGGACAGGCTCAGGAAATTTATTTGGCTTTATGGGGCTGGAAAAGGCTCAACAGGATGATAAAGATAAATATTATGATTTTTCTAAATGGAGTAGAAAGG